CAAATACATACATCCCATAATAGTTTGCTCCCAAGCAATACACACAATAGAATGGGACACAACCACATGGCATTAAACAATGACCAACCCCCCACCTATAGATGTCTACACAATATCAGGACATCTCACCCTGCACCCCTAACAGGCACAGGGTGACTTACACATAAGAGGGATATGGGGGAGCTGACACAGGGGTTTCCCCACCTCTCCAAAGTGAGCTGTGTTCCATGGGCCCCCCACCCAAAGTCACTCCCGTCACATTCCTCCCCCCCCCCACACCTCCCCTCTTCCCCACCTTCCCTCCTCCCCCCCCCCACACCTCCCCTCCTCCTCTTACTCCCTCCCACCTTCTGTCCTTCTCCCCCCACACCTCTCCCACTCTCCCCCCCAACACACCTCCCCACCTTCCCTCCTCCTCCCTCCATGGACAAAGACAGCATGGCTCGGAAGTGAGTCCGCAGGTGAGCCCCCATAAGAAGTGGCTTCCCATGGGGGCAGACAGAAAAGAGGAGTGGAGAACTACAAAGTGGGACCCGAGAATAGGGGGTGCGGGGCCACTGTGTGCAAAACCACTGCACAAAACATGAAAGTATTACATATTTGGTAAAGAAAAAAACAAAAAATAAAAACAAACTTTACAATGACAAAGTAATTACACTGTACAATAATAAAAATGTTTCTGTAGTGGAAATAATGTAACCAAAAGGCCTTTGTAATTTTGCTTTATTTTATATTTGGATAACAAAATACATTTTCTCTGTAAACAAATAGAAAAATAGTTGTACTGTCTGCTCCTCACATGCAATAAATCACTCACATTTTAGGCCAATTTGTTGTGCCAGGCAGGTGTTTAGGTGAATCAGAGAAGATGATTACAAAGGATTGATACTCAAAAGAGACAATTCAACAAGCAAAACCTGCTTGCGGCTCTGAGGCTAGTAATATGAAACTTTGCAAACTGTGACCATTGAGCTTTCATCATCATATTGTAGTAGAATGGCTGTCAGATTCTTTATGCAGTAACAGCTGTAATTAAACAGGTTCCAAGTCTATTTGCTGATTAAAAATTATATAACTTATTCTTAAGCACATACTGTAAATGCTAATAACCAAATCTACAAAACAATCTAGACAATGTGGGGGAGTAACAAGGAGTGGCTCAGGCACTCTTCTAAACTGAGAAGAAAACAGAGCAGATCCTGCCCCAAAACAAAAAAAGGGGGGGGTAAGCCCCATTGTTAAAAGTGTTACTAAACCCGGGACCCTGCATTCACTATATCTTGTCTCCCACAGTACAGTAAACGGCTAAATACCTTTTCCCATCAGCAATTAGAACAGTCTTGTGACTTCTATCAGTGTCCAGCAGAGAACTGGTTAAAGCTTATAGGATGTGTTTTCATTCTCCCCTATGAGGCTGCAGGACCCCTGACCCTCGGTCTGGACAGTGCTGATTGGTCCTGTGCTGATCATGTGCACTCTCTCCAAGCCTCTGTTCTATCAGGAGATATATTGGGGGAGAGTAGAAGGATCAGCGAAGAGAGGATCAAACATCCTTTTTACACAATGCGGATGACTAATCCCTTAGGTTCCACAGCAAGTATAACAAGCATGCTTTACTGCATATACAGACTTATTTTACTATTGTGGGTTTAGTAACAGTTTAAACAGGAGTGATCTGCTCAAATTTTCTATGCAGTGTCTGCGCTAGAAACCGCATAGAGAGCAGAAACTGCTTGTACAGGTTGCTGGCAGACAGATCACATCCTATACAGCAGGTCCAGTCTGGCAGGGACCTGTGGCAGTTTTCTATATTGAAAACTGCTGCAGTTCATTTGTTAAAATAGGTGCAGAACCCCAACCAGTTTCTGTTTAACTCTGACATAGAAAGAAACTTGGGTGGTGGGTGCATGGGTAGTGCGGGTAGACTCACAACAAGTCTATTTGATGTGGTGCACACCAGTCACACTAATTTTCTGCACCATTACAATTCCGTCCCCCCCCCCCACCAGTTATTTCTGTTAGGTCAACCTTAATAAAAAAAAAAGTATTGAGGACAAAGGCAACACAGCCCACAGCTGCTTGGTAAACATGGCCTTCAGGTAATTATAAAAAAAAAAATATTAGTTCAAAACAAAATTCTTCTCAACATATTTACCGCCAGACCAGTACAATTTCAGTTAACATAGCACATAGTACTGAAACCATTGTCGAGAGACTATAATTTTTTTAGACTGGATAGCTTAATGACTGACAAATGTAAGTAGGTGCTGTAACTGTACTGAAACCAGTCATGCACACAATATCTTAATTACTGAACACTGTAAGAGCTCATGTCATAGGGCTTTGTTTTCCTGCGTATGATGTACGTTTAGAATACATGTTAAATGTACGTCAGCAAAATCCCATTGACTTTAATTGAGCAGTACAAATGGCAGGTCAAAGGCTCATTTGACCAGCTTTGTCCCTCTGAGGATACAGCATGTCCTACCTGGGTACATTTGAACTGCAGGTAAAGCAGGTTGAACCCGGCCTATTCTTGTCAAATTCTGCAGTTTCCTTTCAAACACTGTGCAAGTGTTTGAATGGAAAACACAATGTTTGACTAGAGCGTCTGACCTTTTCTTTTTATTCACAACTGCTGAATTCAAATGCCTTACATGTTCACACCATGTGCAGAGACAGGAGTTTTTCTGCACCTGTCTCTGTAAGGGCACAAAAAATGCCATTGTATGCTATGTGCCTTGTTCACACCACAACACTAGTATCATGTGCACATTTTTTCTATGCATCATGTATGCAGTTTTCTTTGCAAAAAACCTGATACCAACATTGTGGTGTGAACAGGGCACATAGAAAACAATAGTTTTCTTTGTGTCCTTTCAGAGACCTATGTAATAAATAAGCACATCTCTGCACATGGTGTGAAAAAGACCAAAATATTCCATTCCAATTGAATCTGCACAGTGATTCCATTGGGTTTTCTGCATGTATGCTGTGAACAAGGCCTTTTACGTTCAAAGGGGATCAGGGTCCACAAATCAAAGTAAAAGTATAGTACTGTTTATTATCATCCTTTTATCAGTTCCTTGGTTGAATATATGCATGTCTCCTCCCAGGATTTACTTTACTGTTTAAATGTTACCCACCTGAAATATAAATGTTACCCACTTGAAATATAACACATTAATATATACATGAATACTGGTGCAAAATAAAATAGCCGCATTGCCTTAAGTGGCCATTCAATAGTCTCATATTGTCCTGCTTTTTGTATTGCAATAAAAAATAAAAAGTACCAGTTTGGTTGGGCATGTCACTTCTTGCATGCATTTTAATCCCCTTTAAACATAACAGTTTCCTTCTATTTCCACAAAACACCATTTTTAAAGCTGCACTCCAGATAGGCAGCTTAATACACCTATTAGAACCATTTAACCTGCCAAAGAATTTGGAATTCTGGGCAGCCTTTGATACATAACTCAGTAATCCTGCACTGCTCTATCACCATTTGAAAACTCAATAACGAGATTGAAACAGAAATTCTGTGCAGCCAGTCTTATGACCTAGTCACAAAGTACAGCTACGTTCTTACAGCAGCAGAGCTTGGTGAAGGACACATTCTCAGCCTACTGGCTGCACAATGAAGGAAAAGCAGCTGAATATTAAGTCATTAACCCTGCTGTTTACTTCTGCCAGTATGGTCAATGGTAAATTAAAAGGTGCAGAAGCGTAACTGTCTCTAGTGCTGGCCTTTGCCTTCCCTTTCCCAATTTGAGTGCTGACTGCATAACTGTATTAACTGTTGTCATTGTATGATGTAGAGTTCAGCTTAAGTAAATGATTACTTACCCAGTAATTACCCAGGGTTTCTATGAAATTAAACAGTTTGCCCTTGCCATAATTTTCTACATATAATATTATGTAAAATCATTGGATATGTGCATGTTACACAAGTGATGGAGTTTGGAAGTCAGGATGTTAAATAAAAGGTGCAAGCAAAGGCCAGAAATTAAATCATAGTGCTACAATATTACAAAACTGAGACAGAATAGTGGACACAAGCATACATTACCGTTGGACCTCTGGTTGTACAACAGAGCCAATAAACATTAGTGTGGTAAAGTTTTAAACAAAAAACAGTATCTAGACTGCATTTAGGCACCAGGAAAGGGACCACCTTTACTCTTTCGCACTACTTGAATATAGTGTTTAGAAATTGCTTTCAAGTAAGATCATATTTGGGCAGAACATGTAAACTAATCAGATTGCACCAGTATAACTGCACAGACATAGATATAAAAACAGGCAATGTCTGCATGTAGAGGGAGCATTATAAAGATAAAACAAAATAATGCATACAGTTTATGTCCACATATACAATTAGATCTTAGGTTATAAAGAGCACTTTTTAGGTTTTTTTTTTGTTTTGTTTTTTTAGAACTGAAGCTTTTAGATATTGTGCATATACAAGGATGGCTCAGTTTGTTTATAATTATTCAAGGTGTTCCTTATGAATATATAATGGGTTTTATCTGGATCAATGGCTTATACCACAGGTACACTGTAAAAAGGTACAGCGTTAACCTGAAACATTAAAAAAAAAAAAAAAAAAAGTCCTGTAGAGATTCCATCATAACCAACAACATGCATAAACTTGTTCCTTTTCAATTATAATCATTTCGGCGCTATGCTCATTTGGTAACCCACAGAACACTGTTCATTACTTCTTTGTTAATTTAGACTTTACTGAGATGAATCAGCCTCCTCTTGTTTTTAGACGCACAAACAAAAAGAACCTGTGGATTACTCCTCCATATTGCACTGTCAGATGTGAAAGAGCCAAAGCCTCTATTTCACTTGACTTTTTTTCTTCTGGAGGACAAATACAGGGCTGCATCCAATACAGAGATTGTCAACAATACGTAATAAACTGTAGTGAATGAAAACAAAAAATAGTAAAAAAAAAACCAACAAAAAAAAAAAAAAACTTCCAACGTTCATTACAGGTCAGTCCGCCAGCGCTGATGAACTTCAACTTCTTCCGGTACTACTAAGAGTAGCTCACAGTTTTTGCCCCTTAGCTGATGTTGTAAAAATTTCCTGCAAGGAGAAAAAAAAAAATTAGTATAAGAAAAAAATTTTAAAATATCTGCGGGCAATGAGAAAATTAGCTCTGTATTGGTTTGTTATATAATTAAAGTGGTATAAAAGGTAGGATAAGCATAATTAACAAACATAAAAAAAAAAAAAAGCAGCTCCAATGTTCTGCCACCAATTGCCATATCAAAATACATAAATGGTAGAAAAGCTGCTTCAAACACCAAAATGTGTTCCCACACAACATAAAAATACAATAAAAACAGTGCAGTGCTGCCAACACCTTCTAAACAAGATTAAACACATGATACCTCAATGTGTGCAAATATCAAACATTAGTACATACATCAGAACATATGTGAATAGACGGTTACCTTGTTATTACAATAAAATAATAAAAACTATCCTGCTAACACCACTAACATCAAATTAATATAAATGCATACAAAAAGGTGCAGAAATAATAAAAATGTGCCAATACTAAAGCATGTGCAAAGTCCTAATAGATCTAGTTCTAAAGGGCTGTCCACAGGCACAAACGTAACACATTTCACTAAATTTCCACCAAAGAAATGTGTATTGGCATCCATGAATCACACACAAGCCACACCACTGTGCGCCTTCATCACCGGGACAGGAAGCTAAGCATGTTAACACTAGGCACAATTTGCACTTCAGCGTTAATTTCAATTTCTAAGTGCACTTCTGCGTTTACAAGCGTCATGAGGCTTAAGAAAAATCTTTTCAGTTTCTTCTTAACTCACAAAATCCTTGTCTGATGTGCAGCCCCTTCTTAAGAATGGCACCCCACAAAGTCTTGCATTGAAGGTCAAGTTTCCTGGCCATGTTTTAAGTGAAAGAGTTCACTTTGCAGAATTAGCTAAAGCTGATGGTCTCTCAGATATTCTGACTGACTCCGCTGAAGTGCCTGCAATATAACCAACAGCCTTAAAAAGAACATTAAAGGATACGTTCACCTTTTTCGGCAGAATTTCACTTTTCATAATAAATAGAAGCATTTTCTACGAATGCACCGAAATTTCGGTGGCCTAACTTTTCAGCTGAAAACACCACTATCGAACGTCAGACGATATGAAAATAAGCACCGATACAGGTGCCGAAAGTAACCCTGGCCCCTCGCCACCACCCCTCGGTGGTTACCAGCCACACCTGAGAAACCAAACGATCCCGACGCTGGGCATAGAGATAAGTGAAGGAAAACAAACACTCCATAGTGGAAAAAAATCCAAAACAAAAGTCCCAAAAGTATATAAGAATGTGCTCCAATCCCAAAAATAGTGCTCAACAAAATCTTCAAAGTGTGCTCAAACCATCCGTGATTAATGATCCAATCCCCGCTCACCAGATGGAGTGGACTCTTTGCTGGTATGGCTAAAGAGTCAAACAAGCTTTACAGACTGGGTATATCCTCCCCAGATACATCTGCACATGATATCCTCCAAAAACGATTTCCACGATTAGATGGCGACCACTCCATCTGGTGAGTGGGGATTAGATCATTAATTACAGATGGTGTAAGCACACTTAGAAGATTTTGTTAAGCACTATTTTTGGGATTGGAGCACATTCTTATATACTTTTGTTTTGGACTTTTTACACATTTATATATTTTTTTGCACTGTGGAGTGTTTATATTTATATATGATTGTTTTTTTCCTTTCATGAGCAGCAGCATTTAGAGTTTGATTATATTATGTATATTTTTTTTTTTTTTTGGCGCAGGTGTTATTTTATTTATTGTTTAATTTATTGCACTTAGCAGCCATGGAATTGTTTGATTTTGTTCAACAAAAAAGGATTAATGTTGATGAAATTTTCACAAACAATTGAGTACACAGATCTTAAAGATTTTAGACATTTGAGGAATAATTTAGATAAACAGATTAGAGCTTGATGGGATATTGTAACACTTGAGAAATACATGAAGGAAGGAATTACACCTAGGAGATTAAGATTGGAGGTGGCCCCCAATGATAGTTTAATGAGTAAGCAATTAGATGAGGAATGGTTTTCTTTTTTTTAATCATGTGGAGAAAAAAAAGAAAAAAGAAAAAAAAACTTTTGGAGCTTATCATCCAAAGGAGAAAAAAGAAATTAAGATCTATAGAAGAAAAAAAATCCATATACTGAAAGAGAAAATAAGATTTGAGGATACCACGGATTATAAAGAAATAATGAAACAGCTACAGGAATATATTAAAGTGGACGAGGATACACAAAAAAAGAAAATTAAAAAATACTGTAGAGACACACAGGACTATAAACAAAATTTGGTCTATAAATAGCAAGAGGATAATTTAAAAGGTAATATGGAATCTAGAGCTTCAACAGAGGAAAGGGATGTTCCAGCTATGAATGTCCCTTCTCTTTCCAAAAATAAGGAACCCCACAGTCAAGCTAAAATAAAAAAAAAAAAACACCATTTAAGGCTAAAATTTAAAGACCCCATTTTAGAGTACCAGTCCATAATAGATTTGAACCTTTGAATGGATTGGAATCAAACATCATCACAACCCTATCCTTATTCCCATGGAAGGGATTTTCAGAGGAGGGATTATGGGGTTCCCCCGTGGAGGGGAGGGGGGGGGTGTTTCAATTCAGGGGGAGGGGTGATCCCTACTTTTCTCCAATGAGGGAACAAGGGGGGATGGAGACCAGGTCCCCCGATGTCAAATATGGGCACAAAATATGGAGAAAGAGAAGGAGGGGCTGTAGAGGGGGGAAGAGAAAAAAGAAAGAGGTTTAAATCAGGGGATCTTCAATGTGAGTGATAAGCAATTCACTGAGGAAGAATTGAGGGTACTTGATTTGGGACTTAAATTTGCACCGGACAAACAACTGGATAAGATAGATACTTATTAAGCTTTATAACAAATTTCTGTACATCCACATGTTAAGAGAATTTGGGAAAAAAGAGGATCTAGTGATAAACAGGAGGCAGGTATGTGTGTACATATAAATTTGAGAAATCAATTCGTATTTAATCCCAAAAATAATAATATTTTTTTTGTGTGGACACTTAAAAAAATGGTGGAAAGTGATTTGGAGGCTCTCACCATCCCTCATATTAGGAGTAAGAAAGACATTTTGCAAGGTTTGGATTTATTGGAAAAGAATAAGGAAATTGTAATTAGGCCAGTGGATGGGGGGGGGGGGGGGTTATTTTGAATAAAAAGGATTATAATGAGGAGTTAGAAAGATTGGTAAGTGATCAAGATACTTATGAGGTTCTGGAGGGAAAACCCACTAATAAATATAAGGCTAAATTGAGAAAACTTATAACTATGGGAGAAAGGGAAGGAATTCTGAACAAAAAAGAGACTAGATATCTTGTTCCTGATGCTCCCATTACTCCAGTGATATATCAGTTGCCTGAGATACACAAGAGTCTCGAAAAGCCACCAGGGAGATCTATAGTAAGCAGTGTAGATTCCCTGTTCACAAGAATAGGAGAATATCTGGATACAATTTGCAACCACTTGTTCAGAGGTCACCAGCTTATTTAAAAGATACTGGAATTTTGATTAATATTCTGAAGGAGGTGTGTGTAGGGGAACATGTGTTATGGCAAGTATAGATGTCAACTCTCTATACACAAACATCAAACACAAGGATGTGTTAGAAGCCATAAGATGGTCCTTACAGATTACTACAGAGATGAATACGAAGCAGAAGGAATTTTTATTGGAAAGTTTAGACTTAGCAATGAGTCCTAACTTTTTTTGGCATAATGGGCATTATTATAGGCAGAGGACAGAAGTAGCCATGGGGGCCAAGTATGTACCCACAGTAGCTAATCTCTTTATGAGTAAATGGGAGCACGAATCAATTTATAGGAATAGAAAGTCGGAATTAAAATTGTATAAAAGATTCATTGACAATATTTGTATTGTATGGGAGGGGACAAAGGAATCTCTGGCCAGTTTCTTTTACTATATGGGAATGAATAAGTACAATATAACTTTCACAGAAAATGTGAGTACAGTCTCAATTTTCTTGACCTCACTATTTTTTAGGAAAGAGTATAGGCTATACACGCGTACATACTTCAAGGAAGTGGATGGGAATGGATACATTCCAACGCATAGCTGTCACTATTATGGTTGGCTCAAAGCGATACCGAAGAGCCAGTTTGTGCGTATTAAACGTAATTGTGATCTAGATAAGGGTTTTAGGGAACAAAAGGATATCCTAATAAAAAAAGATTTGAAGAGAAGGGGTATAAAAGTAATGAATTGAAGAATACAAGGTATAAGGTGAAGGATATGGATAGAAATGATCTTCTAAAGAAAAGGGTCAGAGATGGAGGGAACTTTGATTTAGCATTTATTACAGGTTTTTCCAAACAGCATAAATTAGTAGGGAACATATTTAAGGACCGCTGGCCAATATTATTACATGATGAGGTATTGGGGAAGCTTTTACCGAAGCTTCCCAAATTCATTTATAGGAGACCTCCGACTAACAGAAACAAACCTGTAAGAAATGTTCCAGACCCACATTCAAAGAAAACCACTTTTTTGGATCAGGTGGGGTTTTTCAAATTTTGAAGATGTATGGCTTGTAAAGTGATGAAGGGTGACAGGGATAGGAAAATTGTGCAATTTCAATCACAGGCAAGAGGGGATATATATAACAAAGAAATTAATTTCATGTGGTAGTCATCATGTAACTTGTCTCCTAGAATAGAATGTCCTTGTCATCTTCAATACGTAGGGGAGAACAATGAGAAAATTATCTGTAAGACTTGATGAGCACATTCTAAAATGGTAGGACAAATTATGATGCCTAAAACCTTTTCATTATTTTGAAGGTGCCACAACAGGGATCCGTCTTTGCTCAGGTTCTGTGGGATCGACAAAGTTGAGCCCCATTGGCGTAGTGGCAATATGACTAGGTCGATTTCACAGAATGAAACAAGGTGGATCCTGAAATTGAATACTTTGTCCCCTAAGGGTTGAATATAGACATTGATCTTAATT